TCTCTCTTTCTCTTTCTCTCTCTCTTTCTCTCTTTCTCTCTCTCTCTCTCTCTCTCTCTCTCTCTCTCTCTCTCTCTCTTTCTTTCTTTCTCGTCCCGTATATATGCATGACTGACCAGTAAAAACCCTCCAATGGTGACTAACGCGCCATGAATGGTACTTTTAAAGGAAATACCTTCACAGCTTTATGTTTATGTTAATAATCTTCCAAATATTAATAATGTTTGAATATTTAAATATATCTTTACGAACATAGTTGGGTTCAATAGGTGTATCTATCCATCATGTATTTTCTTTTTTGGTAATACTAAAACATTGAAAAGACACTATCTTCTCTTTAACCAACCACTTCATCAGCTGAATGTTATATTATACATGTGTATACCAAAATTTCATATCTTAATTTTTTCAAAACTAACTCCCGGTGATTTAATAGAATTGTGATTTCTATTAATTCGAAATTAATATTATTGTTAAGTTAATATGATTGTTTATCAATTATATCCTTGTTACAAAAACTAAATTATGACATATTATTTTTTTTAATCGAAATGAAGTTTTATTCCGTAAAAGTTCATTAATATTTTTAATTTATTAATGTACATCATTTAAAATTATAAGATGTTAAATTTTAGATAAGTTTTTTTTTATTCTTTATTCTTTCCTCTGCATATTTCATTAAATATGAAGTATAATAGATATTATTAGTAAATTTATCTATTTTATTCTTTAATTTAAATGTATTGTCAAATTAAAAGTTGTAAAAGGCTTAATGTGTCAAATATTTAACACTTGAAGGTGCACTTACTTGTATTACAATGTTTATGGTAAATATGTCATGAACTGCTTCAAAGCAGTCAATATTAAACATACTAAATGTGATATAATATCTTTAAACTATGTGTGAATATTGTAAACTGTAGTCTAACTTGGATTTTGTACTTTATACGTGTAATCTATGAACGCCTATAATATTTCAGTAAAGCAAATATTTGTATTTTATCAATCGTTTTATTTTATGTTCACTTCTATGATAAAGGAGTTCTCTACGTACGTGATCAGTTAAATTATTTTCGTATATAAAACAGAGTAGATACACATGAAAATTTTATACTCAACATTTATCAAATCAAATAAAAATAAAAAATATATTTTATTGGATTCAAGCATTTTAAAGATATGAAGGAGTTTAGAAAGCATCGCGTGGGTAATAAATAAGTCTTACCAACAGCTTTTTCTTATAATATGCGAGAAAAAATTTTGAAAAATGTTTAAACTTTCTGTTATCGACGTCTGCGGTGACGAAATGTATTATGAAAATAAAAATAATTTATATATATTTTTGAAGTATAAAAAAGCGTAGATTTGCTATGTGTATGTCAGGTATGCAAAGCTGCATTGGCAAGCACAAATATAATTATATCGATCAACGAATAATGTATGCAAATAATTGGTCCAAGTCTGTAAAAGAAAAACCTTGGAGAATCAATGCCCGTCTCTCAGAACGAAGCCTCTTTTTACTTCACGCTTGTTCTCAAAATTGAATTTTGAAGTTTAACACGAGCCATCATCTCTATCAATGTAATGTTTGTCATGGCAATCCAATAAGGGTAAACGGCCTTCAGTCCCATATTTTGCAGTAGACGCTTTTTGCGAATGCCACACAGGCGTTCGAACCGATTTTAAGATATCGCGGCTAATTTATTCCAGGTCAAGGATTGCAGGCTACGCCATGTCCTTTACTCACTATCTCGTCGACCTCTTATTATTCATCGTCTTAATCTTCCTCTGCTTTTCTCCTTCCTCATCGAGTAAGAGTACTAATATGAGCCACGAATTTTTGTTTCGACGAAGCAGTAAAAGTAAGAAATAGAATGATGAAAAAGAGAGAGAAAAAGGTAAATGAAATCGGAAACTACGCGTGTTCCCGCCACAAAAGACCTGGCAAGAATAATCATTTTTAAAACAGACGATTACGTCAGAGCTTCCCTCTCCTCGCTCGTTAACTTACTACTCGTTGCTTCCTTCTCTCGGACCTCGGTAACTCCGGTACCTCGGAGAGCGTAACAACCGGTTGGTAGATCGGGAGTCGCGAGTTCTTCACCTCGTGCGTGATAGCTGGGTCGCCGGCCTCGAGGGAACTTGCTTTCGCGAAAACGAGAGGAAGCGAGAAGGCTAGAGAGTGCAGCGCAAAGACAGTTGCAGCGACCCTCGCAGGCCACGAGCACTCACGAATCTTTCAATGGGAGCGAGCGAAAGGGAGAGATAAAGAGAGAAAAAGTTGACGTCCCACGCGAGCTGAGGTTGGAGAGTGGGACCAGCGAGAAATCGGTGGCGTTCTCTCGCGTTTCTCAGGCAGTCTGCTATCGGCGCTAACGCTGACCGGCACGGAACCAGCGACTTCGCCCCAGGAACGACGACGCCTCTCTGAGAGTCCATTATCAGCGACAATCAGGCGCGACATGCGAGCGATTCGAAACTATTGTTAAAGCCGCAAAACAGAGTTACCCTAATAGAGCAATCAATAGCGAAAGCATGAGTGCGAACAATAACCAAGCGGAGTTCCTCGTAGCGGCAAGCGAGAAGCGTTTACACACGCGGGAAGAGAGCATGAGTAGGATCAGTTTCGGCCACGAGAATCAACGATCGAACTCGAAGCTGGAACAGTTGGACATTCTTGCGGCAGAGCTCATTGACTCGGCCAACGCCATTGACAAACCCGGCGAAATTCCCTCGGAACATCAGGCACCGGCGATCATAAAACATGCAATGCGCGAGGAGGAGCTCGTCTCCGCGGATACCTCTATCGATTATGCCGCGAGCTATTACATCGAGCATAGCGAAAGCTGGGGTGAGGTCAACTATGGGACAGCGCCGGTCCATCGAACGAACGAGACGATGGTCGTACGCGAGACCGAAAACAAACGAAACGATAGCCTCGAAGTTCAAGACGTGACCGATCTTGAGCTCGATACGCACCTTCTGCAATCGGGACAGAGCTACATTGTCGAGTATGAGAGCAAGAGCGGTCTGGAAGAGGAACTTAAGCAGACACAGCCGCGTAGAAGGATCGAGCGTAGGTCCGACACGGTGGACATCCGAAAGGTTGCGGAGGAACGTCCGATGGAGGAGCTTGGCTACACCATCGAAGAATTCACGAGCGCTAATACGACTACGACCGTAACGATGGAGCAACCGAAACAACAAAAACAACAGTTGCAGAGGCGCGAAACCAACTTAGAGCAGGTGCGTTCTAACGGAAGTAGGAATCTACAAGAAGTAAACAAGTCAACTTACACTACGAACACCACGTGGGATGGAACTTTTATTTCGGAGCAACCTACTCAGCAACTTTTGACGACGACGGTTATGTACGAACAGCCTTGTGGGCCTGATGAGACTGATGAGATCCGACAGACGAAGGTTACTGCCACGGAAATTGAGGTTCGCGTTGAGGCAACAAGGCCAACGCCCACCCCGAGGAAGCTCAACACCTCCACCTGGGATGATTCCTTCATCCATGAAAATTCGCAAGAGATGAGCCAACAAAACGAAATCATCGTCCTTGGGGAGGATCATGTGCGCGAGTCTGTCAAATCCGCCCGGGATTCGAACGAGAACCGGGACTATTTCACGAGCAAGATCGTGAGTTATTCTTTTGTCTTGCTTATTTATGGCATTCAACGCAGACTATTATGTTCGCTTAAGCCACTTCGTTTCTCTTTCATTTATTCATATATAATTCTATCCTATTCAAATGCATATCTTTGATAAACAATATGACGCTGATATGTATTATAGGTTACTGATTCCGATTGATGGCAAAATTATATAATTATCACTTAATATTTATAAAAGAAACCACTTAATATTTTCATGTATTCACATTATCAACAATTGTGTATTATCGTTAGCTTATCTTTATATATAACAAATCTATTCTTTCAATTGTCGTTGCATTTGTTCTTCATAAGATTTACTTTTTAAGGTGTGTTAACTTTCTATCGGAACTTAACACCTTCGAGTTTTAAATATATATCTAATAACATTCTCAGAGTATTCAAATTGTTTTTATTCTACAAGTCTTTAACTAGAAATAATCGATTAATGCTTGTAATATGTCAATGATGTTTTTATTAAAATTAATATTTATTTATCATTATAATGCCTTTTTTTCTTTTTCTTTTCTTTTTTTTTTAAGTAGTTAACTTATCATGTTAAGATTAAAATAATTTTCTCATATTTTTTATAATTTAAAAATATATTTAATTATTAAAAGTTTTTTTTTTAAATTAATGAATAATTTTTTCAATATCAACACATGTAAAATAAACGAGATCGAAATAATAGAACGTATAACATACACTATAGCATTAACTTTGCTTTAACATGAATAGTTTTATTACGTAAAACTATAATTCAATAGCATTATTTGGAAAACTAATGACGTAATTCGGTAATTACGGCAAATTGTTCTTCTATTCTTCTATTACAATACAAAGATTTGATTTATAATTATTTGACACGTAGTGAAGCAATGAAGCACCGGTATTAATTCCATAACTATTAATATAATTATCATTAGCCGCATCTAACAGATTTTGCTTGTTATTCATGATAAGAAATTGATAGCAAATTATAAATTAAAAATGGAAAGACAATCGGCAAGTAGAGAATACGTAAAACAGAAGCATCTTATTACTCTTGTCCCGTGAATATTCCGTCATCGTCAGAGTTTCCAGTGATGAGTAATATACGTAAGCGCAAAAATAAATAGTACGTCAGCCTACAAAACTGGCTGGCGCCCAGAATGAAAAACCAATACTCCCTCCATTCGTAATACGAAAAATTTATCTACATAAAATGGAAGTTCCTGTTTTATAAAGAAAACAATCACTGTGCCACAGTACACAAAGCACTAACTTTTCATATGAAATCTCATTAAATATTCTGCGAATCGACGTTGTGGTACACGCGAACCGCTATATCGGGAACTCAGTTGCTCAAGCATACGCATAACTTGCTAAGATACTGAATTGATGCATACTTTTTCAATTGACGATTCTAACACAAATAGAACATAGTCCGATCATCCAGATCTGGATATCTAGCGCCAATTTTCCAAGACTTTCTACGACTCTTCTACTCAATAAAGTCTGACATAATACCGCTAATGATAAATGAATGTTTTTTTTCCACACAGCTGTCATATAAGTTATATAAAAAGCAATGCATCATACGCGCGTAATAAAACTAAAATTCAATGAATTTATGCTAATTTACTCGATGGACAATTTTTTATTGACGCAAGTCAGAATTGATGTCTGCTTGTTGTTGCTTACTCCACAAATCAACTACAATTACATTGACTAATGAACGGTGTGCATAATATTTCAAATAAAAATTAAATACGTATTAGTCATTGCAACATTAATATCCTACATTTTTCTAAAATCATTCTATTGATAAAGGCGTATTTCGTTTTACTGATTCTATTAATGTTTTAATTTGCCATAAGAAAAATAAAGTATTATTTAAATATTCTGATCAAGATACATAAGACAATTACTTCTTACAACTACCACGTACTATAATAAAAATTCACGTAACGTAAAATTGTTTTTGGTAGAAAAATTGATAAAATGATGAGAACTATTAATGTAATTAAAATTATTAAAATTAATGTAATTAAATCTAATGATTATATTTCAATGATAAGTTTAATGATGAATTATTTAAATAATTAATAAAATTAAATTAAAAAAATCTTAATTTAGATTTATTAGAGCTGGCTCTTACTTAGATTTTTCAATGTTATTCGTAATAAAACAAACATTTATCTCGTAATCTATTTTAATCTTTTTATTAACAATTTTAAACTACATAATAAACATGTTGATAAAATATTATAAAAGCTATATCTATTTTATGCCGAATTTAGAAAAATGTCGATGCAACGCAGTTAAATACTAGTATGGTAGTGCAAGATGTCGATAAGGAACAATATGAGAAAATCAACAACTTCTCAAATACGCAGTTACCATCTCCAACATCTCCAATACGATATTCACTCGATCAACCTAAGAATGTCCAAGCTAAACCGAATCTCGAGCAGAATGGCACTGAATCGAAAAAACCAGAAACAATTCGAAATGATTCAACGTCGATATACACGCAAAAACGGTACTATTTAAATATGTTTTCTCGCTATTTACTAAACTAAACATAAATGATAGCTTCGCTTGACATATCATATATCGTAATTACGATTTTTGAGAAATATTTGTAGATGAGCATCAAGTTAATATAACGATCAAAATTAAAAAATTAAAAAAGCAAAATTGGAGCTCATTACATGCTTGAAAGCTTTAACAAAACTATGATCGCCGAAAACATTCTCTCTTTCTCTCTCTCTCTCTATTTTTTCACACACAAACACAGCCAATAATTACATGTAAAATAAAAATAACTACATATTCTTTAATAATAATAACGGTTTAAGAATAATAATAATAATAATAATAATACGCTATATTTATAATAAAATAGTTATATAAAATATATCCAATATTGTGTAAGACTATTGCATTTATAACCAAGTTTAATGATAAAATATTAATCAGTGTAATAATTCGATCTTTTAAGGCTATCGGAAACAAAAACTACTAAATCACTGGAATGTATGCAATTGGAAATTACAGTGTGTGAACCAACCAATTCATCCACTCCGCAGGAAAAAAGTTCGAGAAAAAATGTTCCCAATTCTAAAAATTCTCCTTCAAAAGTTCCAGACTTTGTAACTACGATTACTGCTAAAGAACAATGTATTTGTGAGCTTTGTACATGTGGGTAAGTTATCAAGTGTAATTCAACGAATCGTCAAACATTTAGTTTAAAAATTATTTTTCCATACAGATACAATTTTATCTTAATTTAATATAAAAACATTTTTTAATTAATATTGACTAGTAGTCATTTATTGGATTACTATCGATATAGTGTATTACTATTTATTAATAATGAATATTATATTATTATTTTAATACTGAACAAATGTGATTATCACAGAAGAATATGCATGAAATTTAACAATATGATTTATAATTTATTTTCAAAATAATTTATACAATTTGATTGATATTATGTTATGATGCTATTAACTATAATTAAAGTGCAATTTAAATGTAAATATTTTTTAAATCATCAACTTTTTGTTACTTACTATATAACAATTATTATCATAACAAAAATTTATTATGGCACTTAAAAAAAAAAAAAAAAATACGACCAATTTTAGTGCCTTCCATTTTTATTTCAACATATGTAAACATTATTAATTAATAATAAAAGATAAATTTTCAAAATTTCGAATTTTCATTATATAAATATAATAAATAAATTATGTATACAAATCAATTTATAATGTAACCAATAATGTGTAAAAAAATTATTCATGTATATGTAATTATTTACATGAATGTTATGTACGTAAATATTATGTTAAATATGTTAAATATGTTAAATACTAAAAATATTTAGTTCATTTTGTTGAAATGAAATGATTTTCAATAGATGGTTTTTTGCATAAAATATGAAAAATATTAGTGTTCAATATTAAAAAATAACGTCATTTTAAGATGTATTCTTAATATAACTTATAATATGATAATATGTTATAGGCGTCATCGTTGTCCTCATAATGATTTTCAAGATCATCTGAAAATTTCAGACGAACCACTTATGACTATAACTTCTTATAAAGAGGAATATGATAAAAAATCTGTAGATAGAGAAATTAATTATTACAATGCTGATCATTTACATATAGAAGAGGAATTTATTGGGGAGAGACGACATGATTACACAGCTACTAAAGGTGAAAAAGCTTCTATGATAATACTCAAAGATAATTTAGATTCAATGGTATAAGTCGTCCGTACAAAAAAGATTAACAATTATAAATAATTTATTCATTATTAAAGTATAAAATAATTTTAGAAGGGAAGAGAATTTGAAAGTGCATTGTATTATTATTATAGTAGTATATATTTAATATAATATATTTTGTCTATTAAAAATATTATTATTTTGCTTGATAGTAGTTTGTATTCGTAACATACTGGTAGCAAATTTTTCATTTAAACTATAGAAAACAAATTTATAATGAATATTATTACATAACATGATACATATACTTTTGCCTATATTTTTCATGGAATTGCATAGAAATAAACAAGAATTTGATTTATAAAAAAACGAGTTTATTAATTATACTGAATTTCCAGATTTATCAACATCGTTAGATTTTCTTGGTATATCTGGAGAAAACCCAAGTACTGAGCGTCGCAACACTTATACTAAAGTAGAAGGTGAATTTATAGATACGACCAAATCGAAAACAGAGTGTATTGATCATGATAGAACCGAAACTATTCAAATAACAGACAGATTCAAATCTAAGGGGCCGTTTGAACGAGTAGAAATTATAAAACGTACAGATGATATTCAATTGGAGGATGAGAAAAAGATTTCCGGAATAAGCAATGATTATACAGATACTGTTATTTGCGAGCGCACAGAAGTTACAGAATACGAAAATAATCTTAAAATGAAAAATGAAATTATCGATATAAATTCCGCAAATAATTATGAACAATTAATCGAATTTGAATATCAACATCAAAAAGTTATTAATGATGATAGAGATGATAAAAAGGATATACTTTCGAAGATACAACATGAAAAAGAGATTAATCGAACAGAACAAAATTCATACAATCTTATTGAAAGGCGCTCACCTATTAAACAAACCAATAATCTGAAATTAGAAGGAGAATTTGATCGTCCAGAAAAAGCGCCATATAGATCCGGTGAAAAACGTTCACTGATTATACAGACAAATAATCTTAAATTAGAAGGGGAATTTGAGCGCCCAGAAAAGACTCCATATGAACCTAGTGAGAGACGTACACCTATTAAACAGATTGCTAATCTAAAAAGTGAAGGGGAATTCGAAAAACGAATAATTGAGAAAGCTCCTATGAAAGGTGATAGATCCAACATTAAAAAGCCAAAGGACCATTTAAAACCAGAAGGATCTTTCGAAGGTCGACCAAAAGATGACTATAAACCTACTAAAGGAGAAAGGGCTGAGATTATAAAACACACGGATAATCTTTACATGGAAGGCGACATACAAATATGCACATCACGGGATGATTATCCCAATTTTGTAGTTGGGCAACGAACACAAGTTACAAAACACGAAGATAATCTTCGTATAGAGGGAGAATTTATTGATATGGAAACACGAGATGATTATCAAGTTATAATGGCAGAACGTATGGATATCATTAAGCACGAAGATAACCTAAAATTAGTGGGTGAGATTAACATTCCAGAAAAAATACCGTTTAAAACTGGTGAAAGACGTTTACCTATAAAGCAGACTGATAATTTGAAGAGTGAAGGCGAATTCGAAAAACGAATTATTGAGAAAGCTCCTACTAAAGGTGATAGGGCCGAGATTAAAAAGCCAAAAGATCATTTAAAATCAGAAGGACCTTTCGAAGGACGACCGAAAGATGACTATAAACCTACTAAAGGAGAAAGAGCTGAGATTATAAAGCACACGGATAATCTTTACATGGAAGGCGACATACAAATATGCACATCACGGAATGATTATACCGACTTTATTGTTGAAGAACGAACGGAAGTTACAAAACACGAAGACAATCTTCGTATGGAGGGAGAATTTATTGATATGGAAACACGAGATGATTATCAAGTTATAATGGCAGAACGTATGGATATCATTAAGCACGAAGATAATCTAAAGTTGGAGGGAGAGATTAACGTACCAGAAAAAATACCGTTTCAAACTGGTGAAAGACGTTTACCTATAAAACAGACTGATAATTTGAAGAGCGAAGGCGAATTCGAAAAACGAATTATCGAGAAAGCTCCTACTAAAGGGGATAGGGCCGAGATTAAAAAGCCAAAAGATCATTTAAAATCAGAAGGACCTTTCGAAGGTCGACCGAAAGATGACTATAAATCTACTAAAGGAGAAAGAGCTGAGATTATAAAGCACACGGATAATCTTTACATGGAAGGCGACATACAAATATGCACATCACGGAATGATTATACCGACTTTATTGTTGAAGAACGAACGGAAGTTACAAAACACGAAGACAATCTTCGTATGGAGGGAGAATTTATTGATATGGAAACACGAGATGATTATAAGGTTGTAAAGGGTGAGCGTATGGAAATCATTAAACACGAAGATAACCTAAAATTAGAGGGTGAGATTAACATTCCAGAAAAAATACCGTTTAAAACTGGTGAAAGACGTTTACCTATAAAGCAGACTGATAATTTGAAGAGTGAAGGCGAATTCGAAAAACGAATTATTGAGAAAGCTCCTACTAAAGGTGATAGGGCCGAGATTAAAAAGCCAAAAGATCATTTAAAATCAGAAGGACCTTTCGAAGGACGACCGAAAGATGACTATAAACCTACTAAAGGAGAAAGAGCTGAGATTATAAAGCACACGGATAATCTTTACATGGAAGGCGACATACAAATATGCACATCACGGAATGATTATACCGACTTTATTGTTGAAGAACGAACGGAAGTTACAAAACACGAAGACAATCTTCGTATGGAGGGAGAATTTATTGATATGGAAACACGAGATGATTATCAAGTTATAATGGCAGAACGTATGGATATCATTAAGCACGAAGATAATCTAAAGTTGGAGGGAGAGATTAACGTACCAGAAAAAATACCGTTTCAAACTGGTGAAAGACGTTTACCTATAAAACAGACTGATAATTTGAAGAGCGAAGGCGAATTCGAAAAACGAATTATCGAGAAAGCTCCTACTAAAGGGGATAGGGCCGAGATTAAAAAGCCAAAAGATCATTTAAAATCAGAAGGACCTTTCGAAGGACGACCGAAAGATGACTATAAACCTACTAAAGGAGAAAGAGCTGAGATTATAAAGCACACGGATAATCTTTACATGGAAGGCGACATACAAATATGCACATCACGGAATGATTATACCGACTTTATTGTTGAAGAACGAACGGAAGTTACAAAACACGAAGACAATCTTCGTATGGAGGGAGAATTTATTGATATGGAAACACGAGATGATTATCAAGTTATAATGGCAGAACGTATGGATATCATTAAGCACGAAGATAATCTAAAGTTGGAGGGAGAGATTAACGTACCAGAAAAAATACCGTTTCAAACTGGTGAAAGACGTTTACCTATAAAACAGACTGATAATTTGAAGAGCGAAGGCGAATTCGAAAAACGAATTATCGAGAAAGCTCCTACTAAAGGGGATAGGGCCGAGATTAAAAAGCCAAAAGATCATTTAAAATCAGAAGGACCTTTCGAAGGACGACCGAAAGATGACTATAAACCTACTAAAGGAGAAAGAGCTGAGATTATAAAGCACACGGATAATCTTTACATGGAAGGCGACATACAAATATGCACATCACGGAATGATTATACCGACTTTATTGTTGAAGAACGAACGGAAGTTACAAAACACGAAGACAATCTTCGTATGGAGGGAGAATTTATTGATATGGAAACACGAGATGATTATCAAGTTATAATGGCAGAACGTATGGATATCATTAAGCACGAAGATAATCTAAAGTTGGAGGGAGAGATTAACGTACCAGAAAAAATACCGTTTCAAACTGGTGAAAGACGTTTACCTATAAAACAGACTGATAATTTGAAGAGCGAAGGCGAATTCGAAAAACGAATTATCGAGAAAGCTCCTACTAAAGGGGATAGGGCCGAGATTAAAAAGCCAAAAGATCATTTAAAATCAGAAGGACCTTTCGAAGGTCGACCAAAAGATGACTATAAACCTACTAAAGGAGAAAGAGCTGAGATTATAAAGCACACGGATAATCTTTACATGGAAGGCGACATACAAATATGCACATCACGGAATGATTATACCGACTTTATTGTTGAAGAACGAACGGAAGTTACAAAACACGAAGACAATCTTCGTATGGAGGGAGAATTTATTGATATGGAAACACGAGATGATTATAAGGTTGTAAAGGGTGAGCGTATGGAAATCATTAAACACGAAGATAACCTAAAATTAGAGGGTGAGATTAACATTCCAGAAAAAATACCGTTTAAAACTGGTGAAAGACGTTTACCTATAAAGCAGACTGATAATTTGAAGAGTGAAGGCGAATTCGAAAAACGAATTATTGAGAAAGCTCCTACTAAAGGTGATAGGGCCGAGATTAAAAAGCCAAAAGATCATTTAAAATCAGAAGGACCTTTCGAAGGACGACCGAAAGATGACTATAAACCTACTAAAGGAGAAAGAGCTGAGATTATAAAGCACACGGATAATCTTTACATGGAAGGCGACATACAAATATGCACATCACGGGATGATTATCCCAATTTTGTAGTTGGGCAACGAACACAAGTTACAAAACACGAAGATAATCTTCATATAGAGGGAGAATTTATTGATATGGAAACACGAGATGATTATAAGGTTATAAAGGGTGAGCGTATGGAAATCATTAAACATGAGGATAATTTAAAACTGGAAGGCAATATTGAGCGGCCAGAAAAAATTACATACAGTCCTATTGAAAGACGTACACCAATAAAACAGATGAACAATCTTAAATTGGAAGGAGAATTCGACAGGCCAGTACCTAAAGAATTTATACCTGCAGAACGGCCAAAACAAAAGAAACCCAGTGATAATTTGCACCCTGAAGGAGAGTTTGATAGACAGCCAAAACCGAAAGCACCTGTTAAAGGTGAAAGAGCAGATGTGATAAGACCGCAGGATAACTTGAAACCAGAAGGTGATATTGCACGACCTGAAAAGACTCCGTATAAGCCTAGTGAAAGACGTTCACCGATTAAGCAGACAAACAATCTTAAATTGGAAGGTGAATTCGATAGGCCAGTGCCTACAGAATTTGTACCTGCAGAACGGCCGAAACAGAAGAAACCCAGTGATAATTTGCATCCTGAAGGAGAGTTTGATAGGCAGCCAAAACCGAAAGCGCCTGTTAAAGGTGAAAGAGCGGATGTGAAAAAACCGCAGGATAACCTGAAACCCGAAGGTGATATTATACGACCCGAAAAGACTCCATATAAGCCTAGTGAAAGACGTACACCGATTAAGCAGACAAACAATCTTAAATTGGAAGGTGAATTCGATAGGCCAGTGCCTATAGAATTTGTACCTGCAGAACGGCCGAAACAGAAAAAACCCAGTGACAATTTGCATCCTGAAGGAGAGTTTGATAGGCAGCCAAAACCGAAAGCGCCTGTTAAAGGTGAAAGAGCGGATGTGAAAAAACCGCAGGATAACCTGAAACCTGAAGGTGATATTGCACGACCTGAAAAGACTCCGTATAAGCCTAGTGAAAGACGTTCACCGATTAAGCAGACAAATAATCTTAAATTGGAAGGTGAATTCGATAGGCCAGTGCCTATAGAATTTATACCTGCAGAACGGCCGAAACAGAAGAAACCCAGTGATAATTTGCATCCTGAAGGAGAGTTTGATAGACAGCCAAAACCAAAAGCGCCTGTTAAAGGTGAAAGAGCAGATGTAAAGCGACCACAGGATAATCTTAAACCTGAAGGCGAGATGGACCACCCAGAGAAAATTTCATATAAACCCGGTGAAAAAGTTTCGTTAATCAAACAATCAAATAATCTTAAATTAGAAGGAGAATTTAATCGCCCAGAAAAAATTCCTTATAAAACTACGGAACGACGCCTACCTATAAAACAAGTTGATAATTTGAAGAATGAAGGTGAATTTGAAAAACGTCCAACGGAGAAAGCTCCCACAAGGGGGGATAGAGCGGAAGTTAAAAAGCCACAAGATCATTTGAAACTGGAAGGTTCTTTCGAATGTCGCGCTAAAAATGATTATAAATCAATTAAAATATTAGAAAGACCCATGCCTATTGTTCCACATGATAATTTATCTCCGGAAAAAGAATTAGATAGAACTTCGAAATCTCATGGTTTTATAAAGGATAAAACTGAAAATATGAAATCCACGCTTGTTAAGCATTCAATTAAATCCGAAGATATATGCACTAAGTCAGTAGCTGATCAATGCATTATTAATTATCAAGAAGAGTCTGATTTAGGTATTGAAATGTCAAAAGCTCAAAAATCTGAACGACGAAATGCAATACGTCATTCAGATTTAAGAAATGAAAGTGATTTCGAAAAAACACTTCGTGTAGACTCAACAGATAAAATAATGTTGAAAAAATCTTACGATAATGTACGATCGGAAAGCGAAACAGGTAATATTCATTTACTAAAAAACAACAATCAACATACCAGTGGAGATAATTATCGCACTCAATCATTCAAACGTGAAGACCATTTACGAATGGAAGGTCGTTTTGAAACGCACAACTCGAGTGACGATTATAATCAAATTAAAAGTGTAGATAGAATGCATAGACGTCAAGATAATCTGAGAATAGAGGAAGAATTTTCTGACAATTACAAGAAGAGC